TCTCTTATGAAACAATACGTAAACATCTAAGGATATGGGAAAACTCCTTAAAGAAGGTGTTTTTGGTGTCTCACGAACTCTCCGTTGATCATCGTTTCCAACGTGTGAACGTTGCTTCGTCTCTACTGGCGCGTAATGCGCGTGAACCATTTTTTGAAAGAATTGTCGCCGGTGATGAAAAATGGATTCTCTATGCAAATATTAAACGTCAAAAACAATGGCTCAGTCCTAGACAAAAACCACTTCCGACCCCAAAACCTGGACTCCATTTGCAGAAATTGATGCTTTGCATTTGATAGGACATCAAAGGAGTAATTCATTTCAAACTCCTCAATCCACAGTGAACTGTCAATGCAGAGATCTATAGTCAGCTACTGGAACGTTTAAATAAAGCCATTTAGCAGAAACGTCCTTCACTCGTCAATCGGAAAGGTGTTCTTCTCCACGACAATGCTCGTCCATATGTGGCACATTTGACTCAACAAAAGATTATGGAGTTGGGTTGGGAAGTTCTCCACAAACAACCCACCGTGTTCTCCAGATATGGCACCATCAGATTACCATCCGTTTCGTTCTCTACAACACTATCTTAATGGGAAAACGTATGCAAGTGTGGAAGGTGTTAAAGAGGACATCGACATGTTTTTTGCTTCAAAGTCAAGTGATTTCTTTGATCAGGGTATTAATAACCTGAATGTAAGATGGAAAAGCATCATCGATAAGAATGGAGACTATTTCATTTAATAAATATTTTGCTTTGATATATAAGTTGTTCGGGTTTTTTCATCTAAAAATAGCGACATTAATTTCTTGACGACCTAATAGATGTAATTCGGTATAAGATTTGTTCTCGTGTAATATAAAATCTTGTTCACCAATGTAACTATTTTATAAACATCCTTACACGAAGAGTTACAGCACAAGAGTAAAATAATGGTGCTTGAGATTTTAAGTGAAAATACGTCATTCTAGTACACCTAAATGAATACCTAACGCATTTAAGTAAAAAATCTGAATTTTATTGCTAGTTATCAATTTTGTGTTTTGCATTACTATCTTTTTTTCTTCAGTTCCAGCACGGAACAGGAAGTGGAGTGATGTTGCTCATATACAGTATAATCCTATCTCGCGGTATCACCAGGTAATGTTAAATACATAAGTGACTGCTTGTTTTTGTTGAAATATTCAGTAACTTATTTGAACGTACAATTATTCTATGGTCGCGCCATCTATTGTACACTGAAAAATATTCTTTAAAATTGTCGGAAATATTTGCATCATTCCAGTAACAGCTAAATCTAATAAAATAATAATTACACAAAGCAAGTTAATAACTCAACTTGCATAAAAAAATAAAATTCAATATATTTTATTCATAAGAAGTAACGTTACGTAAAAAATAGATTAAAGCTTGAATACGACCTGAACTAATGTTTGAGTGAAGTGTTTTTTTTCCGATGTCTTTCAAAATTTTTCGCCCTACGTACGTTTTATGTCTCCAAATGTCAAGTAAGATTAACTAGATCTTAAAAACGTCATCAACTAATTCCAACGAGAAATGGCATAATTGTGAAAACTGGTAACCCTCAATTGTGTAATATTCTGCGTAACAAAATGGGCTTGCTTAATCTAGATCAATCTCCCATGTTCACTCAACTTCGCTCCCCTGCTCTAAATCAACTACCTCCTCTTCGTCGTACACCTCTTTTCTCTTATGTCATCCTTGGTGTTGATCCTGTCATCACTGAAAAAGCGATCCTCTCCAACTTCCTCTTGAAAATATATCAGTCACGCATGCCATTCGCATTCAAATTAATTCTGGTCCTACCTTCATGATTTGTGTATTGGCTGAGAATAGTGACCCCGTAGATCATCTCATGTCTAATGAGCTATCGGGTTGAAGCTTTCCATTCCCCGGCCCCCGAGGCTCTGCGCTGTGAGAGGTGCCTATTATACAACTCGCATACCACTGCTAAATGCTCTAACCAACCAGTTTGTTCTCATTGTCGGGGACCTTATCTCCTTCGCCAATGCTCTCGCTTAAGCAACACCCCTCTGCAACACTTGTCATCTTGATCATCCAACATACTCCTCTAAGTGTCAGGGTAAGCCACCCCCAAGAATGACGATCCTGCTTCTTTTGCTCCAGTGGGTACCACCGATGCCATTACCCTTCCAGCTAACTCTGTCGCTATGTCTCCTACCACGGAAGATATCATCCATTTTATCACATTGACAGAATGTCCTCCCCTTCTAACGTACGTTCGTTCTAGATAATATTATACATGCTGCCAAGACCGTTTTTTGCTTTCACATGCAGACCACTTATTCTGGACTTAACTCACACTTTCTATTTCGTCGTCTATGGGATCCAGCAGAGACTACATGTTGAAGTATTTATTTGTAAATATTCGCTCACTTCTCCATAACCTCCCTCTTCTGGAGATCTTGTGGGATAGAGGCTCCTATGATTGTGTTCTCCTTAACGAAACTTTTCTGAAACCCACTCAAAGAATTCCCTTGTCAGAGAACGCTCTTCATCGATATGATCATCCTATGGGTCTAGCCCGAGGGGGTGTGGCAATTGCTACTCGAACTCGCCTTCCCGTGCGCCTACATTCCCTTTCGCAGTCCACTTACCCTGAGCATTTGATAGTCACTGTTTACTTACCATCTCGTATCATCACTATTGCAACAATCTACATTCGTCCCCAGCTACATTCTTCTCGTGATGTCAACTACCACAGTAAGACCTCTGCCGAACTTGCCCATTTTCAGTCGTCCTTATGCTCCCTTTCTGGTTCTTTGCTGCCAGCCCCTAGTCGTCCGATTTCTCATTCGTCATCTGATATTGTCTTTGTTTATTCCAACCTGGTTCCTCTTATCACTCTACACATGTGTCCTCCGGTTGGTAGTGATCATCTCCCTATAGAACTTTGTGTCCGTTCGCAGACTTTGTCCACTCCTCGTGCTTCCCGTCGGACTAACTTAAATTTTCGTTCTGCTATTTTGCTGCTTTTCATGAACAGAACTTTCAGGTAGCGGAACGTCATATTCTTGACTACAGTAACACTACAACCATCGTGAACTCAACCGTTGCCTCCCTCGTTGACCTTACTCCTAGTTCTTCCCATGTTGTTGACGATGATTTCTTACCTGCTCCCATTACTGCAGCTGATATCTAGCGGGTGATGAAGAACAGTTGTAACTCAGCCCCTGGTCCTGATGGCATCACTTACTGCCAAGTTCGTTATGCCCCTATGCAATTCCTTCGACTTCTTGCATTGTTCTACACCTTTCTTCTTTCCTCAGGATTTTTTCCTGGTTCCCGGAAATTCTCCACTATTCTGCTTTTCTGAAACCGGTTAAACCTGTCTCTGATGTTAATTCTTATCGTCCTATCTGCCTCACTAGTGTTTTCACTAAAACCTTTGAACGCATCCTTGTTACACGTCTTTATCAACTCATTACTGCTCACAACCTGCAGGCGGGATTTCGACCACGACTTTCTACTTTGGATCAACTTCTCAAATTGTCTGACTCACTTTCCAATCATTTCAACACTCGAAGACCCTCCTGCATGCTCATATTTGATTTCCGGCGTGCTGTTGACTCAGTTTGGCATCAAGGTTTACTCCACAAACTGCATATGTTAAACTTTCCTATTCCCTATATACTATACACACATACAAGACATTTATCAGACCCTGCTTAACATACAGCCTGGGTATCTGCTTCTCTGGCCTTCTACTATGGTATCCAGATTTTGGAACGCTATGCCCCCCGGCTTGCTTTTTGTGTTAGACTTCCTAGTCCCACTTCCGACCTTTATCACCGTATCAACTTTCCTCATATTCTGGTACACCTTCGACAGCTTCGCACTCGCTATGTAAATACATGTTTTCGTGACCACAATCTCATCTTCTCCGATGTTCTTGCCACCACTGTACACACTCCAAGATGCATTTGGGCACCAGCTGATCACCTACTGAAGCTCTATGTCATGTCTCTCCCAGCTGACAATCCCAACCACGTCGAGATGCCGATTTCCCATCTTCCCCCATTTATCAATCCCGATTCCTAATACTTGTAATACCCATTGTCAGTTCCTACACTATCTCCATTACGTGATATAGACTGATCAGTGTTCGCTCATATTTCTCCCGATTGTCTCCTCCATTTGCGCATACCGTGTTTCCACATTTTCCGCCTCCTGTGCTGACTTCCTCCCTTACCCTTCTATTATTCCTCTTTACCATCTTTCTTTTTTCGTTGCTTGGCTGACGAGAGAGCGTAACCCTCTACCGGCCCGCCGGTCCCCTCCCCTCGGGATTGGAATGAAATAACGCATATGTTGTTGTTGTTCTTAAAAATGTATATAATTACTAGCTGAAATTACATTTTACTACTGATTTGCTGAATGCAATTAAAAAACAAAGCTTTCACTAAATTAAGTGTTAGCGGACAGTAAAATTACACTAATATTACTTATTTAAGCGCTAAGCTGCACAATGGGATATCTGCAATGTGTCCATCTCAGGGAGCATACCCTGAATTTTAGCCTTATAATCCCTTAAGTTGATCCACCTGGAGGACATTATATTTTGTCGGGAGGTATTACTAATGAAAGAGTCGAGTTTACGTTCATTATTAGCAGAAAAGCAGCATACAGGCTATTTACACGAAATATTATCAAGAAAGTAAAATTTGCATGAATTATAAAAGAAAAAGTAGACTTTATACAAAATACCTGAGAATGTGTAGTTTACAATAAGTACAAGTCCGCGGACTTACAACGCTAGAAGCCGGGTTTCGATACACGTGGTGGGCAAAGCATAGATAGCCCTTTGTATAGCTTTGTGCTTAATTACAAACAAACAAAAGTTTATACAAATACAAGCGTGAATTTTGGTTTAGTTCTTGTTAAGCACAAAGCTACAGAAGGGACTATCTGAGCTGTGCCCATCACGAATATCGAAACTCAGGTTCTAGCGATGAGAGTCCACAGACTTACCGCTAAGCCACTGGGAGGCATAAAAGTAAAAGTCATATTTTACATTTAATATTAACGAAAAGTAAAGTTTACACATAATACTGGTAGGAACATAAAATATACGTGATAAATTAACAGGAAAGTTGGAACTTACATTAAATATCAGCGGTAAATTTTCATAAATAATTGCGCAAAAATTTCATTCAGTATTAGAAAAAATTTACCTAAATTTCTTAGAATAACGGAAGTACGCTTAGAATCTATAAAATACATTATACATCTTGATATATTTAAGCATAATCTTCTTGCATATTCACTGTAGTAGATTAACTCAGAGATATCGTAAAATTGTTTCTTTGTTAAAGGGACTTTTGAAGCTGTTTTTACATCATATATATATAGTTATGTACACTTTGTAGAACAATTCTAACGTAGTGACCGACACAGGGTACAGGAAGATTTGAATGGAGAGTACACCGAACTCCTGACCCCTGTATGTGAGGCTACTCAAGCTATCATCACATTGCTACTCACAGGAAAGGCTACACCTTACCTCCATAATGGTGTGATACGTACCTTAGACGAGGAAAATACGGTACAGACACTTATACAATATTTAATATATTGATTTGATAATATAAATTTTATTTACTCAATGAAAATTATTTGGTGGTTAGCTTACTAAATACAAAGGTAGTTTGGAAACCCAAGCAGTTGTTAAAAAGTGTGGAAAGTTTTTATCTAAGTGTTCTTGTACAATATTATTAAAAGTTATGATTGTTCTATTATTGTTATCATTATATATATATATATATGTGCACATTTCAGAAGATATACAATAAAAGGAAAAGAAAGTGTAACTGGGAACAATTCAGCTTTATGGTATTTGGAACCCCCTTCTTTAGCATTAAATGTTATTTTTTTACTGTGTATTATTGTAAAGGTTAAGGATAAGATAAACAGTTATGACTAATAAAATAATACTTAATTTTTATTCACAGTTTTACTGAATCATTTGCATTTCCTATTGCTAGCTCCAATATATCCCAACCTTTTATTCGACGTAGTTGCCTAACATTATTCGAACGAAACAATAAATGGTTAAATTACTATACACCTGATTGTGTTTTTAAATGGGAAACCACATGTAATTTTTGATATTAGATTAAAGAACACGTGGGTCTAATGTCCAGAAGCGACGTTGGTTTTCTTGTATGGAACCGAAATGATGAAAACTCAAAACAGGTAACAAGATGTGTTTATCAAATGTTAAGTTACGTTCAATTCTTTACCGTGTCAGTGTCAAAATGATTAGTATAATAGTTGTGATGGCAAAGGGTGTTAGAAATACTTGTTATCGTTGTTTGTAATTAAGCACAAAGCTACCTAATGGACTATCTGTGCTCTGCCCATCACGGGTATCGAAATCCGGATTCTAGCGTTGTAAGTACGCAGACATACCGCTGTGCCACTGTGGGGGGGGGCAATACTTGTTAATACTAAAGTAATTTGGAGTTTGTTTTGAACGAGAAAAGTAAAGTCGGAGGATTATTAGTGGATAAATTTTTCTGAGCATGCAGGTTTAGCGTTCATATGCTAAACAGTGAAGTAATCGAGAAAGCATGGTCTCATATCTTACTATAATGAACGTAGAGTGTATGTCAGTATTTATGTATGTAACCAAAACTCCTGCGCCATCTATTGAATGGCACCACAAACAACAATCCATAAACAATTTCCCACTTTGGTTATCCAAGATTCAGACAATTAGAAAAGTAACTGTGTTATGTACAACAACCGTTTCTTTATAATATAACACAATTTTATATAAAAGTACTCTCCTTACAAAAAGAACACTACTTTCACTAGGACTGTACGTGAGGGTTTGATTATATCTTTATCGATGCAATTTTTAAATGGAGTACCGAGAAACTAGAGGTTCTTAAAAATTATTAGTTTTTCAATAAACGTTATTACTTTTAAATATATAAAAACGTTACAGTTTATATAAGTAAAATTTGTGAACATTTTGATCTCTGTACATTGAATCATTTTGATGCGTATGACTAAAGAAAACAATCCGAACACTTTTCTCCTGCAGTAAGTACTTCTCAGAAAAAAAAATCCTTCTTTAGAAAATGTTCACTCTTTCTAAATTTGTTTCAATCAGGCATGATATTACGATTAAACAAACAGCTGCCAACAGTGCGACGTTTCTGCTAGTATTTGTTATGATATTACGATTAAACAAACAGCTGCCAACAGTGCGACGTTTCTGCTAGTATTTGTTATTATTTATTATTATTACCCTCAGCTAGCATCGCAAACCTGAGCCTTACGACTACTATCTCCCGGGTATATCTGAGATAGAAAAACTAACTTATTGAAACAACTATAACTAATATTCTTGGATTTATAAACAAGAGCTAATGGCTTAGTGCCTGATAAGTTTAAAGGTAAAGAGCACGGTAAAGTTGAGAAAAATTATCTCTGTGTTGAAGGGGGTTGCAAACAACGTTTAGTTGAAAAATGTTATTGTAGTGCTAAATACTATATGTAAAGGCCTGATATTTATGTCCGAAATAAAGGTGTACTGTTTAATTAAATATGTGCTTACGTTGAAAGATGGACATTAAGCGTTTTTAAATTAATACTGGTTTGATACTCATGGAATTGAGATAAAATCTGTTCTGGTTTTAAATAGACAATTGCTATAAATAATTCCCAATGACTTACTGCGTTCTGATACTAAAGGAGAGATATTATAGTTTCCTCAATTTTCAATGATGATGGCAGGTATCTTGATGACAAATCTGGCAGAAAATTAGTTTTTCATGAGCAAAAGAGGGTGGAGGTTATTCTGATATTTAAAGCGTTGGGATAACATTTGGTAAAGCAGTGCAAATAATAAATGCTATCCTCTTCATCAAAGTTTGGCTAGCATCTTAATCAATGTCGATGAAACTAGCGACAATGAAGACCATTAGGCCTGATATTACTTCTTGATAGTCATCACGCCAGTTTGAAGATGCTCTTTGTTTTTAATTTTGTTTTAAAATGTCTATTACAGTTTCTATATCGAAGGCGTGTGAAAATAGCATGTTAAGTTCAAGTTTGGTTTGCTTCATGTCCCAGCCTTGAAGGCGTTTCGTTCAATACCGAAACTTGTCGGGTTTATCTATAATAACAAAAGGGCGTGTCTCTCTGTGTGTGACCGCCATAGTTCCAAGAGGAAAGGACCTAGAAACCTGCAATTTTGTACACATACTAAGTGAACACTGATGGTGTGCACCTGGGTATTATTACTTATCTTTTCCACGCCCATGCGCGAATGCGCGTCTTTTTAACGAGGAAAGCTAGCGAAAAGCCACATAGAAATGAAGTGGTTCCTTATATTACAAATACAAATCACAGACAGACAGACACGCACGTGACCACCATAGCTCCAAGAGGAAAACGCCTAGAAACCTAAAATTTTGCACGCATGCTAAGTGGAATCTGAGTGTGTGCACCTGTATTATTACTTGTCTAATTGCCATCGCGCATGCACGTGCATGTTTGTGTGTGTGTGTAACTGTCATAGCTCTAATAAGTAAAAACCTAGAAACTTGGAATTTTGCATTCATACCAAGAGGACCCAGAGGGTGTGCTCCTGGGTATTATCATTACTTATCTTATCCACGTCCATGCGCGCATGGAGTGCGCATCTTATTAACCCGAGCGAAGCCGGGTACTTTCGCCAGTACGTAATAAAGAAACAGAAAATTTCAGATGAACTTCTGACTGCCGTAGTTCGAACCCAGTTGGTAATTTCTGGTAGTCATCGACTTTCTTTAAGATTTTAATCTCTCACCAGTCATATACTTGTCGTTGATCTTGATGTCATAGCTAATAATAATTTACAGCTCTTAATTAAAAGAAGTCCAAAATATCGAGGATCTACTAAGGTTAAATGGATTTGCACAAAATAGGAAAAAAAATAGTAGCCCACTCAATAAAGTTTTACATAAATGGGTGTAAGAAAGAGAAATTAAACGTAAACCTGAGGCTGGCCATGATTAAATGTTTATCAGGCTCGGAATATGAATAATAGAGTTCATAGTTTGGGGTCGATTGCCGAAAAAATGTACTCTGCATTTTGAGGCAATGGATATGCTATAAGAGTGACTGAAAAACCCCACTGTTCGGTTAGACAAGAGATGGTGATGGATTTGTTGACTAGTTGTGTTCCCTCTAATTTATCATTTTAAATCTAAGGACGGCTATAATTTGTGTAGCTTTGCGTAAAAATTCTGAAATATAAAAAAGTAGTCTTAACTTATTGATAAAATGGGTAACAGAACTGAAGAAATAACCATAAACAATTAAATATAAAGAGATTCACTATTGAAGAATAAATGGATTAGGAACTGAAACAAACCACGACATGGAGCGTGTAGATTCCTTACACAGCAGATACGTCATCAGTCCCGCCATAAAACATCCAACAGATTGGATTTCATTTGTAAAAAATGAAAAATATATATATTTATTAAAAGTTTATATAAAGAGTTAGGTTCAATACACAAAAATGTAAATCTTTATGTGAAGAAAGTAACATACAGAAACACAGTTTTATTAGACTTTGATCTCCACTTAATTCTTATAAGATCTAAATTATTCTTGATCTGAAGTTACATGAGCCACCATAAAACACAGATTTATGTCGATGCTAACAATGTTATGACTAAGCACTTATCAACTCTAGTCAAAAAAAATCTGAAGTACATAAAAGGGCTTTTAAACAAATAGTGTAATATTATCAAAAAGAGCCGGTAGTAATCCATTTATTATCATTGCTACTTGCATTGAATTTAAAGAGAAAATTAAATACTTTGAGGCACAAACGATTGAAAATTTAGTTTCAGTAATCTCTACTCTTGTTAGAATTAAGAAGTCTTTCATCGGCAGTTTCAAGACCTTTTAAACATTCTGGTAAATTAATGCCTTTTGTTAGTTTCGATTTTCATTTTTTCCTTGTTGTTGAGCACACATCTACACAATTCTGTACGTACCATGACTATTGAATTCTGAGTTATAAGCCCTCAGACTCACTGCTCTGTTAGTAAAAACAGATGATTTCTACAATAACGATACTTATAAAAGTTATCATTGCTTTACAATAAACGAATTCTTATAAGTTGTACACATTTTTACTTGACAACATATTTGTACAATTCATTCAGTATGTCAGCAAATACAGAGGGGTGGAGGAGAGGAGAGGCGGCAAAGCTTCACTTTGTGCTACTGCGGCAAATCGAATCCCAGATTTTATCGTTGTAAATCTGCAAAAGTTACTACTGACTCACCGGAAGACTAAATATAGGGAATACCTGTAGGCGTTAATTATAAGAATGTATGATTGAAAGCAAAGAAGAATGCATAACAGTATGTTATCAACATTACATCTTATTTATCGAATGCGTATCTCAATCTCCAAGTTGCATATATTCATTCGAAGTTGTATTTTTATTCACAAAAAATCTTAGTAAGAACGACTATAACAAACCTGCGCACATTAGATGCTCAGTTAAACACATCCACATTCTTTTATCGAGTTATAAAGGTTTTTTCAACATCGTCAAACATATTTATTTACCAGAACTTATGTAAGTATCATTAATTCAAATACAAAATTCCAAATAAATCGTACCACAAATTTATTATTTACGGCTTATTAGATACAATAGCATTTGTTTAACATTACAAGATTTTGCGAATAAAGCTAATAAACGTACTTATTTTGCGGTAAATTCAACAACTTTATTGCTACCGATTGCGGTATTAATAATTTTCCGGAATATCATGACCTTATCAAAGCTATCACGTGACAAATTAGTTTTTAATTATTTTTTAAAGTGACGATCAATAATTTTGGTGTGGTTACACCTTTAGTTTTATCTCGAATCCCTGCGATACCACAAAATAGTCCCTGAACTTTTAATCCATGAGTGCATTATAAGTGTGTCATCCAATTCCATAGCGTTGATGGTGCAGAAGGGTGCCGTTGAATAGCTGACTTTCTTCTGATAAGTAACTCAAAATTAGGAACGGCAACAAATAACCTTAGTGTCTTTCCCATACATACAAAATACAAATACAAAATCCTGTATGTCTTACTATCACATATACATTTCATCTAACTTTTACGGTTTAATTCATACATTTCATCTTACTTTTATGGTTTAATTCATACATTTTGGCTAACTTTTACGGTTTGATTCATACATTTCGTCTAACTTTACGGTTTAATTCATACATTTCGTCTAACTTTTACGGTTTAATTCTTACATTTCATCTAACTTTTACGGTTTAATTCATACATTTCGTCTAACTTTTACGGTTTAATTCATACATTTCATCTTACTTTTACGGTTTAATTCATACATTTCGTCTAACTTTTACGGTTTAATTCATACATTTCATCTTACTTTTATGGTTTAATTCATACATTTTGTCTAACTTTTACGGTTTAATTCATACATTTCGTCTAACTTTACGGTTTAATTCATGCATTTCATCTAACTTTTACGGTTTCATTGGTCACTAGATGTTATTAAAGAGGTTTATATAAAGTTTTGCGTATACTGGTGCCAAGTCTCTCTGGGACAGAGAATCAGTGATCTAAAACAAACAAATAGCTTTTCTGTGTCTTGTAAGTAAGTTATATTCTCTTGTTTCATAATCACAGTTTCAATGACGGTATTGGCTAAAATGTTTGATAAATATAATATATTAGTTTTGTTAGTTTCTATTTGTGTATTATGTAGTTTTTATTATGAGAACTATTTTGCATTGTTAGTTTAGTATATGGATTTAGGGTAATCTATATCTCTTAAGCTAGCTAAACATCGTAAAATATTTTTGTGACTGCAGTCGAAAATATCACAAATGACGAAGGTACCCAAATGATAAGTAAACGTATTCTATAATTATCATAAGTATTTTTCTTTATGATATTGCATACTTCTAGTTAGATCCGAATATTAAATTAACTACATTAATTACGGAAATAATGATTTAGCTGTGATATATGTATGTAGCTTGCATTAGACAGAATTTACTGATAATATTAATTTCAAAGCAAAAGATTAATAGACGCATTTTGTTATATGACTAATACTATTGTTGAAATGTTTGTGCAGTTAGGAAGTCGCTTGAAAACGCCGACTTTTCCAATATGGGTCACACATACAGAAAATAAGTACGGCGTCCTCTTTCACACACGTAGAGACCTAACACGTGATCACCGGGCAGAGCATCGCTTCGATCTTCATTATTACAACGGTTTTCTAGTTCATCCTGAACCAACAGTACTAACATTAGGTACGTAATGGAAAAGAATTCGATGTGAAATAACCTTTTAATGATATTTGACCTAAATGAGAAGTGAAAATTTATCTTTTTTTATTTATCACACCGTGCATTGTTGGAACCATCTGAAATGTGATGTATAGACGAACGATGAAGTAAGGAAAACTGATGTAGAATTATTGGAACGTGCAGAAACAATAAAATAGACAATGTTGGGAATGTGGGAAAATCCGCTGCTTTGGGTATATAATTAGGGAAGATTGACAGAGATTTTGTTCGTTAAAGTCGATAAGAGCGACAGGCAAGCAGAAGCTCACTTGTTTCGATGACATTAGGAAATGGATTAGAGATGGAGGTTTTAATTAGAAAAGCTGATGTTAGTAGTGGGGTATGAAGAACAATGCAGAACCTGAGCCATTGGAATCGGAGAGGACACTATGATTGATATTGTATAGTATATAGAGATTGTGTACAATTGAACATTTTTATGGCGTTTTCAATTTTTCGTTAAATGTTTCACATATCATCACCTGTTTTTTTAGTAAAGAGACATCTTTTTCAAGAAAAATAATAACGTAAACGAAAGGTTTGAGAAATTCTAGATATTACAACGGTATTATTTATAACTTAGAATGTAATCAAATGATTTTTGTTAATCTCCATAATTAGAAGGTTTCAGTTATACGTATTTTAGTAACATAAAATGTACTACAAGTTGAAAACTTTATGGTAAAAATGATTATTTGAAATCAAGGTTGGAGCATATAAAAGACATTCACATTTCAGTAATGAAACTCTGTTTTTAAATAATACTGCTTCAATTAGATTCTTATGATTGTATTTAATTGCTTCATCTAATCTGACAGTAGTTAAGCTTGGTAGAGATTCATCTAATTATGTATATTTTGTACTGAAACGTTTGTATATCAACTTGAACAGTGAAAGTGATCATAAATCAGCATTTTTCAAGATCATAAGCAACACCAATACGCTATGTGTTTCCTATATTTTTTTGCATTTATAACCAAGTCAAGATTTACTTATTTCAGACACGAGGTTCAACAAGCCACAAGATGAGTACAGGATTCCCGTGTTAGAAAGAGTCATATTATCAAAGTAAGTAGTATTAAAAGTAATAATAACAAGATGGAACATTCAATGGCCGCGGCACTTAAAATTCTTTTAGGCAGGATTAGAGTAAATTAATCTATGAGACGATTATTTTAGCTATATTTTTGTGCGTCAGCAATACCAAGTGCGAGGCGCGAGAATACACAATTCGATTTTAATGCTCATTAGGATCTCTACCAGCCTACCCTCAAATTGAAATTCTTTTAGGCAGAGTTAAAGAAATTAATCTATGAGATCTTGGGTGTGGTTAAATACATCAATCAAAAGCGTTTGACCTCCTGAGCCCAAAACTGTAATTTGATCTCAAATCGGTCAAGAGGTAACGGATCAATGTAAGGTTTGTACTTGAAAATAAAATATTACAGAGCCATTCTATGAGCCGCTATGCCGCGGTTAAAAATAATGTTACGTATCTGCATGTTTGTTTGTTTCCCGTAGAAATTCTTTCCGAGGATCTTCAGCGATACAAGTCCTTTCTTGATTAAACCAGTCTATTCTTCCTCGATACAAACTTTTAGTACACAGTAGTTCCACAATCAGTACGTTTCTCGTCACTTTAAACTTAACAACTTTTATAATACACGCTATAAATCACAGTGATTCACAATCTCGATAACTTCGCTATCGACGAGTGCAAAACACACGTTACGGCTCACTAGCTCGAAACTAAAAGAATCATAAAATACATGGAACTCAAAGTAACTACTGCTCTCTCTTCGTTCATCTATCTCACCGGTGGCTTTCTCTGCCAGGCTTATATACTAACGAAGAGGGCATCTCGAACACACTCAGACTTCCCTGATCATTCGAGAAAACCAGCACCAATGCCCAGCAGCGTCACGTGAGTTTCGCTGTCGCAACAATACAATTTAACTGTACTCAAGTTATAATAGCCCTCTTCCATCCAGCCACTTTTCTATCCAATCAGCCAACTTGCCCCTACATCTAATTAGATAATTATTACAAACATTTTATACGAAACCTTGTCAGAAAAATTCAGATATATTAAATTCGTACTGTTACTTCCATCAACATAAACAACAAGTTATTCAAAGAACGTCAAAAGATTAAAGTAAGGCAAGATTTTCCCGTGGTGAAACTTTGTTGACTACCCAACTAAATTATTGAGTTTATTAAATTAATTTATAAAGCTTCTTTTTCAGATTTTCAAAACCCTTTACCACCATTGATACGAGATTAATAGGTCTTTTTTTTCCCTTAACAACCTCATAATTGCTATACTAATATTGTTCGATCATGTTTCCATCTAGCAACTGTTCAGGATGAGAGATATTGCTTAAATGTTTTCAGTAAAAACTGAAGAACATGTAGAATTTAGTAACCCACCCATCTCTTAATCACCAGAAATGAGCCTTTCTTTGTCATCCCTCAAAGGCCCTACTCCCATCCTAACATTTAAAGAAGCAGTGAAACTCGCACAGTAGAGTGTTCAGGACAGCAATGCGCTATGAAACCACATCTCAAACCAATTTGGAGAAACTCCCTCGCCATGAAAGTGAAGGCTATGAGTACGAAAGATAATCCTCCAACCTAAGAATAAGGTAAACATTGCGATAATGTTGGGCTTATTTACCAATACTGTTAGATAGATAATAAACAGGAATTAGAAGTTGATGAAAGATCACAAGCTTCCAGCCACACTTCGAAATCAGTGTCTGTTTTCACGTAAAATATGGTTGAAGAGATTAGAATAACAGCAGTCCTATTCGACTATATATCTATTCAGTCCTCTGAAGCAGCTTTGATGGTATTTTGTGCTTTTAGTCTGCTTAAACATTGGTCTTGGAAGCCAACATCCACGTATAACGGAGGGTTTTATGGAAAGTTTATCATGTTACTTATACGAGCTAAGATTGACCTTGTCGTCATTTACAGTAATTTGTTCCTGTATAAATTACTATGTCGGACAAAAGTACGCAATCAAGGCTATCAAACTGAGCACGATCAAAGATGGGGGAAGAAGTTCCAAGGCAGCACCAGGCATGGAACATCGTATAAAGTATGATTAATACTCACCGTATACGACGCTAGATGTTCTTGGAATGGTTGTTTCAGCTCAGTGTGGAATTCATTTGAACCCATTAGAGGTGATGCATTTAGCAATCTGCTGTTTTAACGCAATGTTGTTATATATCGAAAATACGTATTTATAGATATCATTCAAATATTTTTAAAGTATACTTTTTTAGTAAAAACTAGGTTGAAATACAGTATTACATTGTCTGTAATGTAATGTAAATCAAAGTAAAATAAATTGGTCCATATTCACCTGTAGTTGAAGAGAAAGCCGTGTAATGATGAGTGCTCTTAAATTTTTAGATTACTTAGCTCAGTTGCGTAATCAGACATTCTATTGTACTTTTGATCTGTAATCATAATATATGAGTTAACAATACGTTTTTGTAACGCCCGTTTTTGATTCTCATAGTTCTTGTACCGATACTAGTTTTATTCGGACAGGGTTAGGACATATATTGATTCGATTTACGTACCTACCTACATAAAAAATGGTCAAAGGTTAGTTAAGGTCACGGACTTTACATGTTGTTTTCACAACGTTCTTTCAGGAAAGTAAAATTTATACCTGTGTTAAGTAAAATTTATACCTGTGTTAAGTAAAATTAAATATAAATATATAATTGTTATTAGTATAATATTGTTAACAATTTACGACTGATGTATAGTGTTTATTGAAATATTCGAAAATACTACTCAGGGCACTTGTCTGAATTGGGGTGAGGGTGGGACAAATATTATAATATTGTCTATTTTAAAAGATAATCTTCGAACTAATGTGACGTATTTCGTAAAATACTTCTCACAGTACAATAAATACGGGTCTCTAGATTAAGTAATTTTGGTTTTAATTAACCTTTTAAATACATAACCTTATCAGTATCTTGACCCGTTTACATCTTTTGTGACTCGATTGTTGGTTTTGATTTGACGTTTATAATGCAAAATTACTACCGTTAGTTTGTTGCTAAAAGGGCCCCATATTTCTAATTTACATCATGGGCCTCAAACCTCTGGCAGCAGGCCTACTACCGTTGAATTTAATTGTACTTGCACGGTAATTTCTCAATACCGTTACAATTTCAACTTTTTTTAGTGTGTTTACACCCAACGTCCCTCATAATGAAAAGGCTCCCTAATAGCTCAGTGCTAAGCTTGAGTGCTTATAACCCTATATATCGGAATTCGATTCCTGTGATGAGCAAAGCACAAATTATCAATTGTGGAACTTCGCACTTAAAACAAACAAATAAAGACAGTGGGAAAGAACTGGGTTTTTACATCCTTAATAACATGATAAAAATAAGGTATTAATTGCAAGTTAATATCGCAACAAAGTTTTGTTAACTGTTAGATGCTTGAGTTAAAAAGCCCCTCTCTAGAACAGTTCCTAAAAGATAGCAATATGTAAGCTATGGAGAATTTAAGATATATATATAGTATTTCATAAGCATAATTTGTGCGTGGACCTAGATCCTTAGAAAATATACTTTATAATGCATATAATATTTTAAAACTATCGAACAAAGTTTTGTTAACTGTTAGATGACTGAGTTAAAAAGCCCCCCTCTAGAACAGTTCCTAAAAGATAGCAATATGTAATCTATGGAGAATTTAAGATATATATATATATATATATATAGTATTTCATAAGCATAATTTGTGCGTGTACCTAAATCCTTAGAAAGTCTACTTTATAATGCATATAATATTTTTAAACTATCGAACAAAGTTTTCATCAGGCTACTTCAACTTTTAATCTTTGAGACTAAAAAATGGGATCCGACCAGTCGCTGATAACGAGCTGATGATAACGATCAGAGTACCATTTATTTCTTTTTTTTTTCCATTTTCTCCTCTTGATAAATGGAATTTTCTTTCCAGTGCTTTTGTGGAAATTCGCGTACTACTTAAATGCAGGTAATTCTTTTTGTAGACCCCATCCAATCATGTTGGCTGTCAACACAGTTTAAATTGAACCTATCGGACAAGCAGTCGATTTTACAAAAATATAAAACATAATGACTGGTGTTAGCTGTTCTAACTCATGCAATAAAGAGAAGTTAAAATATAGCGAGTTATCACCCATCGATGCTAAAATATAATGGCCGATGTTGCTAAAATATGCTTAAACATAGCACCTTATGTTGTCTTATCATTGTAAAATGTTGTTATTACTATTACCAATGCACGATTAAGAATTCATGACTGATTTTACTAATGTTTGCTAACATATTGTGATTGCTGTTACCAAGTCATGGTAAGAATATTGTGTTTGATAATACTAAAACATATTTAAATGCCTTCACCAGAGGCAAAAATAACATAATAATGTTATCTATTTTGAAAGTTAACTGGTAATTGAACATAGCGTATTTAATGAAATGTGACTAACGGTATAGTATAGTAAGTTAATAACATCCCGATATTAAACAAATATATATTTCAAGATAGCTGTTTTAATTAAAAACTTATCAAGTAGAACTATTTGATAAAAATTTTGTATACCATCTACTAGCGCCACCTCTAGGACAAGTGCTGAAGCAGACCTAACAGTGATATTTTGCCGCTGATTCACAAGAATGCTCAAACATAATATGAAACATATTAACTTCACCTTAGTTAGCAAACCCCAAACTATTGTGGTATTCTCTGGTTCACCGATTTCTGTTTTTGTGAATGCTGGTTCATTAGAGAAATCCGGCGCAATGGACTACCTGCGTCGTGTCCACCACAAAAATAAATAACAGAAGCAATTTCCTACAATAGTCAATCGTTTTTTTAAATCATAACGGTGGTTTAAATGTAAATAAAAAGTCTGCAGTCGTAATTTTTAGAATAGTTTCTAACCTCTTGTCTGTACTCAAAAATCTTAATTCAAATAATAGCACTATATGCTCACAAATTCGTTTTTCTTGTCCCCCAGTAGGACAACGGTAAATCTATTG